TCATCTTAATCCAACCCAACAGTATGCATCTTGATTGCGAGGAAATAATTCTTGTAACTCCAAGGCAGAAAAATTTCTAGTTCAGGGTCAAATGTAGGATACCGTTACATTTTATTCACTCCCAGAATAAGTGGACACATGTAAATGGCCCATTGGGAATGGTCCCGGAAATATCTTACTTGCTCAGCCATGACCTTTTGGACTGCCTTTTCAGGCAACTTAGCCAGTCAGCTCTCCTAGACACAATTTACAACATGACTCAGGCCTGTCAGTTCTTTTCATCTCCTTTCCTCTCCAACAGCTGCTGGAAGAATTAAATGCAGATACCAGATAATTACAAACTTGTTAGCATCCCAGTCCTATTACAAATATATGGGCCACCCAGTTTTTACACAAAGAGGGGTGCTGAGTGATTAATCTAATTCTGTTTGGGACAGACTCCAAAACAGAGAGCTGCAGAGACCCCATTTGTTACCAGAAGAAGGAGTGCCTATAGCCTTAGAGTGGCACAGTCCTGGCGTCCAAGGAAAGATGAGCAACACTGACAACTGATTAAAATATCCAAACCTGCTACTCTGAAGAGAGCAGTGAGGAATGGCTTGTCTACTGACCAGTGGCACTGGGCCAAGGAATTATTATGGGAAAAACATACAGGAGAATCAACAGTTTGCTTTACTGCTTTTCCTTCTGTCAAGACTGCTACAGGTCTTTGCTATAGTACTGTCAGAAACTGGTTTTTGCCTGGTCAGTTTAGAAACAGGAAGAATTTCCTGAGCAATTTTCTTGTGTTTTACTCAATGCCCACAAGCAAAGGGCGTGAAAGACACACTTCAAGTCAAAAGTTAAACTGAAGACCAAGATTTCATATGGTATCAATATTCAGCCCACCTTCAAATATACCCTACGGGGACTGTCCATTTGCTGAAGGCTTAATGTGTGTAAAAATCTATAATGTCTCTCAGCAGCATCTCTTAGATGAACAGGGTTGTACAGCTCAGTCTGTGGGCTTGGAGTGCTAAGCGTCGCTGCTGAACACAGACTACTTTGGGTCAGAGTTCTGAGAAAAAAAAATTAAGAGGTGAAAACAGCAAAAGGTAGCCTAGATATAGAAGGAAAGAAGACAAATGACACATAGTTGACTAACATACATGGTTGACTAACATATGGGGAAGCATGTAGAGCATTTCCATCCTAACCCTCTTCTCCAAATACAAAGGTCAATCCTGTTGAGTGACTGAGATAAGGAAAAAGTTGCCATTTTGCTGGACAAAGTGGGGACAGGGGAATTACATACAGTTCATATTTGCCAGCATAAGAGAACAAGAAGAAGATGAGCTATGCAGATCTCTCTCAAAGGAAGAAAATTCTGACTAGAAAAGGAGATTTTGAACTCTCCATTTGCAAGATGAATTAATTGAACAAGTGGATTCTGTGGCTCTGCAGTGCAGAGGGAAAGCAAACATGAGCTACCTGCAGGGGTCCAACCTGAGGTGGAAGGAGGGACTGGGAAGCCCACTCCAGTGACAGCTGAAAAAGACAATACAAACACATGAGGAAGCCCAGGAGGACAAATCTGTAAGAAATGATAACTTAAAGAAAAGCTATAGGATTTTTAAAATGTTGCTTTAAAAACAGCATATAATCCCATGCAGTTGACACTCTGGTATCAAATAAACAACCAGACTAAGCCCACCATTCCCCCCATCATTACCAGAGGACCCAAAAGTAGGGCTGCTTCTTATTCTAGTGAATGTTGCTTCTGTTTCCCACTAGTTAAAAACACAGCCTGGTTGAAAGGATTCCTTTGTAAATGCTATTATTATTTTAAATCCTCTGGGTCAAATTCTTTTTGTACTCAAGTAAATATTGAGTAATAACAATTTACACTGATACTAGAAGAAATAGTAAAGGAAAAGGTGTTTAGCTATAACTCATGAAGGTAGTTTTTCTCACAACTTTAGAGAAAAACTATTGCTGCAAAAAAGGATTTTAAAGGTTCAGGTAGCCATAATATGAAAACTACTGCTCTGTAACATTCAAACCCTTCTGCTTTACTATTAAAGATGATACCACATAAATACAACTTAATCCAGGCATCTGAACTGCCTTCTGCAACATATGTATGATCTTTCCATTTTTATATACAACAAATCTGATAAACAGAGATTATATGAAGAGAAGTCATTGGAGCATTACAGCATGAGTATAGCACAGACTAGTTTTCTTCTTTTCAAGTAATCCCAACATATACAGCCAGAGCAGCCTAATAATTAGGAAAAAAACATGTTTTTCTGTTAGGAAAAAGAAAACAGTTCATGTTAAAAAAATTCCCTGACTTTGAGCATACTTTCCTTTGTGCTGAGTATTTTTAAATGCTTAAGATTCCAAAAGCTCTGTATCACGAAACCAAATTTCTGCTTTATTTTGCCTTTTTTTATATATACTACCATTATCTCTGTTCTCACCAGCCCACAAAAACAAGAATAAAGAAGGAGGAACAGAAATATTTGTTAAGATTAGTAGTAAAAACAAAACCTCAAAAGTATTTAGGACAAAATTATCACAGATAACCAAACTCTTGGATGCCCATCCCTCAGGGAGGTGGGTACCAGGAGAAATAGAGTGTGCAGAAGTTGGTGCTGGGTCCAGAAAAACAAAAGCCACAGAGCAGTGTTAGAGAAGATTTGTGAGAAAAGACCTGTAAAGACCTGTATTCACACTTTTCCAAAGTGTGATGATTCAGATACTGACAGCCACTTGAAAGATAATCCTGAAGAAGGGCGCTAGCTTTCTTGTGAAGGCATTCTGTCACAGTTTAAATTGCATTGTTTATTCCTCTAAGCAGGCAGATAAGCCTGAGAAAGACAGGAATGTACAAACGCATTTCTAAGTGGAATGTCCTGCAACATAAAAACTATTGAATAATCCTGCTGTCCTCTAAATAGCTATCATCTGTATTTCTTGCATGCAATTAAAACCAACCAAATAATGCTGATTATTTGGCTGCAAGATGAAAAGACTGGAACAGGTGTGGTGCAATTCCAGGAGGACAAGGAAAACTGTGCACAGAGGCACTCCGTTAGCACAGGCCACCGGAAAAGTCTGTCACTGAGGAGGTAGTAGTTATCATGCACAGCCAGGAGTGGGCAAAATGAAGGCCACTTAGGTAGGGAAGTATCAGCAGTACAAAGTTCTTTCACTAACCTTGCAAAGTTGCCATCACCATTGTTCTCACAGAGCAGCATTTTCTAGTAACTTGCTAGTTTATTTATAAAACAAAAATGGCTAAAGCCAAGTGATTCTGTATAAATAGTGAAAATCTCACCAACAGTTGGAACCAGACATGCAAGACAAGCACCAACAAGAGGCATAATACAGAGTCTGATGGCTACCTGTCGGGGAGGCAGGAACGGGTACCTGAAGTCTTGTGTGGTGGCTTGCTAAGGAGAAACTGCCTGGTGTTTCCTGGTTTTATTCAAGGAGCTGGAGAAACTACCACCACATTTCATGTCTGCGGGCAGTAAGGCACAGGATGAGCTTTGCATGTTGAGTCAATGTGCTGACTTATCAGAGTACAGCGTGTGAGATGAGAGCATTGTCCCATCTATAAGTATGAGCCCATGTGGCTGCATGGTTATTTCCAGGCCTTGCTGGAAACCCATTGCTGAGCTCCTCTGAGAGGCCACATCATGCCCACTGCCCTTGCAGGGCGTCCAAACAAGGCTGGAAGGAAATCTCACTCAGTCCAAAGCCCAGGAGGTATGCGCAACTTCTTCATCACAGAAAATTGCGTTCATCTGCTATGGACACAGGACTGTTGTGTGACAAATGTGTCCAACCTCAGTGCTTAGATACAAGGTGCCCTGGTTCCCTCACAGCACTCGGGATTCACCAGATAGATAGCTCTGAGCAATGTGGAAAGAGGCCATAAACTTTACGAGTCAACCAACCAAGAAGACAGGACAATACGCTTCTCTGGAAACGGGATATTATGCAGTGCTCTCTGCTCTCACAGTATTCCCACCTGGCGAGTAAAGGCCAGGGTTTGCTTTAATTAGTTCTCTCTGTCTGCACAAACCAGGACCTACAAAATGGCCTACAGACCCACTTCAAACAGAACATCTGCGTGGGTTGTCTGGAAATGAAAGCCTGAGAAAGGGGCTCCCCTTGGTATTGTGAAAGGTGTGGAATTTACTCATTACACACTTGCAAATCCAAATTCCTCTGGGGCTTTGCTGACTGCCAGAGCAAGCCCCTGAAGATAGAGAATTACACCGGTATGCTGACAGAAGAATCAAACCTTCAATTTACTACTCACTAGCTCAGAGCAGAAAAGCTATAAGTACCACTTCATCCCTCCTCCTCCTGGACAAATCTCAGCTATATAAAAAATGTATTTCGCAGCTCCAAACAACGGTTCTTTTTGGGACTAAGATGTGACGCCTCCCCCCAGTCCAACTCAGCCGTCAGCGTGCTGCAGTGGTCCCCGAGGTCTGCCGAGGACGGTGGGAGCAGGCAGCAGCTGTCCCTGCTGCCTGCCTCCTGCTGAGTTTCTCCTGCCTCATCCTACGGGAGCAGAGGACAGCGAGTCCCGCAGCCTGCAGGAATCTCCCAGCGGAAGAGGCTGCGGAGCCCCTTGGGATCATGTGTGGCACCCGAGCAGATGTTCACTTGCTCTTGGTGCTCTCTGTGAGACAGACCCTCTCTGATCCCGTCAGCGCGCTGAAGCACACCGGCTACAAGAGGACGGCCGCACTCCCGCGCCTGCAGCTGCTCCTTTAACGTACAAAGGCAGGATTTCAAGTGAAGAGAAGAATGGGAGTCTGGCTGCAGCGTTTCCTTCACTGCTACAACAACAGATTGGAAGAAGCTGAGAGTTTTGATGCCTGGAAAACTGGATTCTGAATCGTGAGAGGCTTTGACACCCCCCCGCCCCCCAAATAAAACAAAACCCTTTGACTTCTTCTCTCAGCAGGAGGGGGAGGGAGGGAGGATTTACCATGAAGACAAATCGAAGATGCAGAGCCCTGCTAGCAGTGAGCCTGAATCTGATGGCTCTCCTGTTCTCTACAACAGCTTTTATCACGACCCACTGGTGTGAGGGCACACAGAGGGTCCCCAAGCCGAGCTGTGGGAAAGAGAAGAAGACAAACTGCCTCAACTACAGTGGGAATGAGACTGCAAATGAGACAAATCAGAATGTGGTTCATTACAGCTGGGAGACAGGAGATGACCGCTTCCTTTTCAGGTATTTCCACACTGGGATCTGGTACTCCTGTGAGGAAAATATCAATGCTGCTGGTAAGTATAAAACAACTTCCTTCCAGCTTGTGTTGCTTTGTGCTCAGCTCAGTGTGATAAACACAGAGGCAAGCTATTCTGTGCTGTATCTTAAAGCAGCTTCGCCCTGCAGAGAGAGGCAGGATTTTAACTGTTCTTTGTTGAAAAACAACCTGTTTCGAGCGAGAGCAAGGTTATTTGCTTGTTTACCTGCTGGCTGATGCAGGGTCTGTGCTCTAAAGCCAGCTGAACCTCTGATAAGCAGTATGTGCTACCCTCACGGGCACCGCAGCCAGGGACTGGTCAGTGCTTCCCTTCTGGGCGCTGCTCCATGGAGCACACAGAAGACGGCGGTTGGTAGTTGCTAAGGAGGTTCTGACATCTAACCAGAATTGCCCCCGAAATAACCCCTAGGACAGTGGTCTGATTGACAGGGAAAGCACAAAGGTCACAGGTTTTATTAGACTGTAGCCTAGACTTCCTCTTTTCTGGCATCCCTTTAAGCAAATAAGCACTCACAAAGCCTTCCTGATGGCTGGATTGTGTGTTTACTGAAGTAGAGAAATGGCAATTAAAGGGCACAACTGGGCACAAGAAAGCTCACTTCTGTTCCCTGCTCAGCCATTTACTTGCCGAGAACCACTCGAGAAGACATCTCTCCAGCTTATCAGTGCGTTCATTTCTTCTGCTGTACCCTGGCACTCAGCAAGAAATAAAACACTGGAGGGTGGATGGAAGGTAGCAGCCATGGGACTGATTTAAGTCTCAACAGATGCAAACTGACAGTCCCTACTCCCAGAGCTGTCTGGTAGAGCTAACATCCAAACTCTGCTTTTGAAAGAGCTTTTTCCCAGATTATGTGACTGGAAAATAAAGTTTACAAATGTGACACAGTATGAGGTGATGATGGCTTGTGGATACTGTTTCCTCCTTGCTGGGCTCTTTCCATTCTATCCTGCCGTTGCTCAAGGAGTAGACTGCAGAGCTGGTCCTTCACCACTGTTGGGAGTGTAGACTGAGGACACAACCTCCCTGAAAAAGGGAAGTTTATGAGATCCTGGTAAAACTGCTCTGTAAGGACATGCTATAAAGTGGGACAAACTTGGGGAGTGGCTCACAGTCCATTTCATCCCAAGGTGCTGTGTATACGCACTGGTGGTTTTGAGGATAGTGCTTCAAGAATTAGTTGGTCATTAAAACTCAATTTAATGTTTTTAAATCAAAAAACATAAGAACTTAAAAACTTAAAAAACTCAAGAACTCCAACCTTGGGACTGTCAATAAACAGCTCCATGCTGAAATGAGTGCAGCAGAGTAACCTTCCTGATGTTAGAAAAAAAGTATAGGAAAAAGACTATTTGTCTTAGTAGTCTGGAAATAAAGTCAGGCCACAGCAGCCTTAGTGAGCAGCTTAAGACTCTACAACTTTTTGAGCGCTTTAGCTGGGATCGGGATGATCAAGCATGCTCAGATTTCTGGCAGATACTGAAAGCTTTCCAAGCCAAGATTTATGTGTGAGATAACTTGTAACTCTGTGACTCTAGCCCACTCAGAAAACTGAGTTATCTGTGGGAGAAGAGAGATACAGTGATCTATTCTGTACTGGGTAAACAAAGCTGTGTTGTAGTGGGCGATTTCAGGAGGTAGCTGGAAGCCAGTTTTAGAAAGTTATGGTGAAAACGGGAGAGAGAGGGTTGTTTCTCCCTCCCCACACCACCGCAGCAGCCAGATGTGTGTTTCTCTTATTTGAAACACTACCTTGGTGAAAAGTACTCCTCAGTTAGCAGACCAGGAGAGGCCAGCCTTTAGAAAGAATCCAGCCAGGTACAGGGATATACTGGCTTAGACAGACAGCTGCCTTGTGCAGGATTTACTATGGTTTTCTGGTAAGGAGAGGAACTGTGTACTGGACACGGATCTAAATTTGTCCCTGAGAGTGTCAACATAAAACAACCATGAAAGGTCTGCATTCAGACTTAATGGCTTTGTAACACCAGACTCTCAGTATATTGTCATGGCCTGTTGCAGCCTGACTGGTGATCATTTTATCTGAGCTCCAGGGCAGTGAGGCACCAGCCAGCCCCAGTCCAACAGTGCTGTGACCATGCTTATGCACACACCCACAACACAATATATCTGTGAGTAATCTATCCCATAGGCTCATCACACTGTCCACAGCACACTCACTGACTATAGCCCTGTAGGTATTGCAAGTCATACAGTCACCATGTTGTTAACAAACACCCTAGGATGCCAGGAGAACATCCAGAAAACACCACTAAGCACAGAGACAGTAGTGTATTAAATTAGTCAAAATCCCTAGCTTGAATGCACTCCATACTTTCAATAATACCGTTCTTAAAGCTTTACCAATAGCATATTGAAAATGACTACGACGACAGCCTTCCTTCAGGCAAAGTCCTTTCAGTAGCCACTCCATAGCCTCACACTTCTGTCAGCAGAACATATGGCCACAGCCTGTGGTCAGCACCATTCCTACAGCTCCTGACCTCCCCCTGGTTCCTGGCTGCCGATGTCTGAAGCTAAGCAACATGAATCAGACCAGGAACACATGAATGCCAGTAACACTCTCTGTGGTTGTGATGCTGTCAAAACTTTCCAGAGGCTCCTAACATTCACAGCTGTGAGCTACATTCTTCATCTAGCCACCAGGCTTTTAATTTATCTCTCCCTACAGTCATGGCACTGTCAAAACTTCCTGCTCTCTGCACTGGTGCAGCTGAAACACAGCAGATTTTGGAGAGCAGACACAGCAGGACGAGTTCCCAGAAGATTGATGCTGCAAGGATGGACAGGATTGCAGGTCTTCCAGTTGGCTGGAGGGCCTAGGACTCAGTCATACCTTAAAACGACACTTAGGCTGCAATCAAAAACAATTTTTGAGTGTCTTCTCACTGCTTATCTGAAATGTCCATTTAGATTCCAGAGGTAGAGCTGCAAAAAGCATGCCACGCACTCTCTGTGCAGAGACTAATGAAGCAGGCCTTCATCTTGTTGCAGGTTTCTAGTTCTCACTGACATCTGTAACGGAGATTGAATGCTGTGATTATTTCTGAAATAATTTGCAAATCTAGAGTTTATTTTTATCCAGCACGTCTAGGACAGCTAAAGAATACAAAAAGTATTTAGCACCTGAGAAATATAGTTGTGAATCCCCTCTGGGAAGAGAAGGACATGAGCATGTATGTATTTCATTGGTGGGTCAGCCCAGTAATTATTTAGTAAAATTTCTGAATCAAAAGTATGCTGAATCCCAGTCTACTAAAAAGAGGATGAAGACTGTCGCTTTCAGCAGGGGTTCAATGCTTTGGATCCCACATGGGTGGAGGTACCTTCTATAACAGCAATGCGCCTAACCTCCGGAAGCTGAAGCACACCCTATGGGCTCTGCAGGTCGTGCTGGTCACAAGTCCTGTTCTGCACTCACACGCTGCACTGGGCAGTTGGTGCCTCCTCCTGGGCTGTGAGTTCCTCGGCTGTGGCCAGGCGTCTCAGAGCCGAGCTCTCTATCTTTTCATTGCTTTATGAGTAGGACTTTGAGTGCATATCTTATTTCACACCTGCAGTTGAGGTCTGTGCTTGTGTCAGTACTGGACACCTCACAAGATACCAGACAAGTGATGTGCTAATAGCAGCAGTGGTGAACTAGCCGGTAGGTTCCGTGACTCAAGAACATACATGCCATGAAAAAATTAACATGTGAAGTAGGTAAGGTGGCATACCTTATCCTAACAGGTAGAGGAGTTTGAGAGCTGGGAAGCAATAATGAGTTAGCCCGTTTTGCCCATTAGTGTGTTTGCTTTGATTTTAATAGAAAAACCCATGAACTCAGATCTTGTTTTAGTTGCTAATGAACAATCTCAGTAATAACATCCACATTCAGAGGGAAAAGCAGCTGCCTAGGTGCCTTTTAAGAGTACTGTCGCATTAAATAAACAACGAGCCTTTCGGTGTTGCTTACCACGCTCTGTAGAAGTCAGGGAGATCAGGAATGGGTCTGCATAGGCTTAGAATTGTATTTTGACAGCAAGGGGTCTGTAGCTGTTTGTATACTCTGTACCACATATTCCTTAGCACTCTTTAAGGAGTAAATGGTAGAGTGGAACTTACATGGTATGTAAAGACGCATCAAAACAGGCCATAAATAGGGACATTAAATGCACATTTGATAAGGAGCCAGAGAATGAGAAAGGTGTATCCTGCAGAAACGAATAAATCTGTAACATATAAAGACATGAACTTGCCATACGCTTACACAGATCCAGAGCGGTACTGCATCACCCTTCTCCCCCACCACCGTGTGATAATAAGCATTTGTGATTCACAAATAATGTGATAATTCATTTGTGATGTAGGCTGCTGTCCAGAGAGAAGGACCAGGGAGAAGCACCTTCTGAGTATATAATTAGAAGCAAGAGGAATTGGGAATTCTTGCTGGATTATGAGAAATACAATATAATTGGCATGACTAAAACCTGGTGGGTTTATTCACATGACTGGAATGTAAAAATTGCTAG